ACTGACTTCTGCTCAGGTCATGATCTCCCGGTTCATGAGGGTTCGTGAATTTGAGCCCCGCATCAGGCTTGCTGCTGTCGCGTGAAGCCCACTTTGTATCTTCTGTCTCCCTCACTCTCTGTCCTTCCTCTGCTCATTCTCTCTCTCTCAAAAATAAAAAAAACATTAAAAAAGTAGAGCTGAGATAATAATGTGCTGATTATGGGTTAGAAAAGATGGGTTAGAAAGAGAGGGGTCCAGGATCATTCCAGAATTTTTGGCTGAGCTATTGGGAGGATGGAGAAGATGGTGGGAGGAGCAGGTCTGGGGACAGGGGACGGTCAGGAATTGGGCTCTGGGTGCAATAAGCCGGAGACAGATGCAAATTAGATACTTGGGTGGAGCTGGGAACAGGCTGTTGGATGTGCTCTTCGGGATTTCACGTGGGGCCAGAGGTATACTGGATAGGTGATGTTTGATGCCCATGACTGGAGGAGATCCTAAAATGGCAAGTGCTGACAGAGCAGAGATGAGGTCCAAGGGCTTAGTCCCGGGGCCTTGTGAAGCAAGAGGAACCATCCATTTTATTCACATCTGTGTTCCCCAGTGCCTGAAACAGTGCCTGACACAAAGTAACTGCCAGGTCAGTATTTGTTGAATGGATAGCTGACTGAATGAATGAGTGATGCTAAGGGCTAAGAAGGAAATAAAACAGAGTGAGGAGTTAAAGAGTGCATGGGGGAGAGTGATCTACCTTATTTTTCACTGAAGTATAGTTGTCACAAAATGTTCATTAGTTTCAGGTTTACAACATAGTGATCCAACAACTCAGTAAGTTATGGTATGGAGAGTGGTCTACTTCAGGTGAGGTGGTCAGGGAGGACCTCCTTAAGAAGGTGACATTTGAGGGGACCCTAGGTGGCTCAGTCAGTTAAGCACCCGACTCTTGATTTGGGCTTAGGTCATGATCTCATGGTTTGTGAGTTCGAACCCCACGTTGGGCTCTGTGCTGACAGGGCATGGAGCCTGCTTGGTATTCTGTCTCCCTCTCTCTCTCCCCTCCCCTCCTTGATCTCTGTATTTCTCTCAAAAGAAATAAAAATAAGCTTTTAAAAAAGATGACATTTGAGCCAAGCCTTAAGGACAAAGAGAAGTCAGGCACACAAACAGTTGGAAGAGACATGGCAAGTGCAAAGGCCCTGAGGCCGGAGCAAATCTGGCCTGTTGGAGGATCAGTGTGCTTGAGGTACTGTGAGGCTGGATCATGCAGAAACTAGGAGGCCCAGAACCTGGGCTTTGGATCACATCCTGGGTGTCCTTCAGAGTTTTAAACAGATGAGTTAAGCGATCAGATTAATATTTTAAATGAGCCCTCGGAGGCAAGTGGAGAATGTTCTATGGGGAGGTAGAAGTAGAAGCAAGGAGAACGTTAGGAGAGACTTGGGCAGTGGCCCAGGCCAGAGATGGCAAGGCTTGCCTGGAGTTGTGGCAGTGGGAGTAAGAGAAATGGGCAGATTCAAGACATTTTAGGAACAGCATGGTAGGATTGGGGTTCAAGAGCCCCAGCTTGTTCAACCGAGAGGACCCTATAGGGCCGGGGGGTTTGCTCCTGGGACTTTCCTTAGTCACTCCTTAGTCACCTAACTCCAGACTCCATGGGCTGCCCTGTGCTGGAAGATGCGGAAGGTGTGGGAAGGGGTGCTGTGGCTGCCAGGATCGTTCCATGCCAGGCTCTGGGCCAGTGCTCTATGGCACCAAGACCATGTCTGGCACTTGGAGAGGGTCCTTCTCCCTTTTTCTCCATCAAATCTAGATTCATGATCTTTCCCCAAGCCTGGCCCTCCTCCGGTGCATTCTCTGTCCAAAATTCTTTGATACTCTTCCAACTGGGAGGTGGGATTGTGTCCCTGTGTTTGAATGTGGGCCCTGGGACACTACTAGAATACAGCAGACATGATGTTGTGCCAGGTTTGGGGCCCAGGCCTTAAGAAACTGGCTGCCTCTGCTTCCCATCTCTCGGGATGCCGCTTCTGGGAACCTAGCCACCATGCTGTGAGGAAGCCAAGTGGCCACATGGAGAGGCACAGAGGGCTGTCCCAGCCAACGCTCCCAGCTGAGGTCTCAGCTGACAGCCAGCACCAACTGCCCTGCTGAGGGAGCAGATGACTCCAGCCCCAGCCTGTAAGCCACTCCAACTGATAGCATTTTGAGCAGAGATGAGCTGTCCCTATTGAGCATGACCTGAATTGTAGATCTGTGAGCAAAATGACAATTATTGCTGTTTCAAGCTATTACTTTGGGGTGGTTTGTTAGGTAGCAGCAGGGAGTTGGGACATTGTGCCTCACCTCTCCAAAGCCTATCCATCGCCAAACAGCACGGAATCTTCCTTCAAAACACCTCTGAAATCCATCATGTTCTCTCCATCTTCCCTGTCACCAGCCTTGTCACCTGGATAACATTAGCAACTTAATAGATCTCCTCCCACTCACTCTTGCTACCACAGGGTCTGTTTCCTACACAGCAGCCCAAAGAACTTGCTGGAAAGCCCATCTATATCCACTTGAAGCACTCAGTGGCTCTCCACTTTCCTAAGATCAAGACTTACTCTCTGTTTCTCCTTTAGGGATCAACCACACTGGTCTTTCTTTTTTCCCTCTAGTGCCTCATGTTCCCTTTCCCCAGGGCCTTTGCACATGCTGTTCCCAGTCCCTGTGATGCCCTTCTCCACCCCCCTAGTTAATTCTTGCTCATGCTTTAGGTATCAGCTCAAACATCACCTCATCCATGAACTGCCTCTAAGCTAGTGATTCTCAAAATGAGGTTCCTGACCAGCATCCTCAGGGAACTTCTTAGAAATGCCAATTCTCAGGGGCTCCTGGGTGGCTCAGTCGCTTAAGTGTCTGACTTTGGCTCAGGTCATGATCTCATGGTTCGTCAGTTTGAGCCCCGCATTGGGCTCTGTGCTGACAGCTCAGAGCCTGGAGCCTGCTTCAGGTTCCGTGTCTTCCTCTCTCTGCCCCTCCCCTGCTTGCATGGGGTCTCTCTCTCAAAAATAAACGTTACAAAAAACAGAGAGAAAAATGCCAATTCTCAGGTTCAAGCCTGGCTTAAAGAACCAAATTCTGGGGGAAAGGCCCAGAAGCTTGTTTAACAAGCCCTGCAGGTGATTCTGATCTGTGCACTTGAGAACTGCCTCTGCCTCTTTTCACCCCCCACTTCTTTTGAGAGCTGCCACTCTAAATCCCCCAGGTCAGGTTGTGAACTTTATCTTTTCCCATCTGTGAATTCCTTTCCTTCAGAGGTCTGCATTAGTGATTACACAGGTCTTTGTGAAAGCACTTGATGTTTGGCTTGCCTGATAGAGCAGAGCACAGGGGTCACTCATTATTTGCTCCTCACTCCTAGCACCTAGCCCCATGGGGGAGCTTAGATGTGGTTTGGATGGATATTGACTCCAGGTGGTCAGGGACTTCCCTGGGTGAGGGAGCGGGTAAGAGACTGGTTACTTTATAGATCTCAGACCCTAAAAGTGGCCCAGGGGAGGGTGAGAAGCTTTAAGAAATTCGGGGAGGCCTCAGCACTTGCAGAAAAGGGTGCTGCTGAGAAGGCAGGGAAAGGGGAGTCAGAGCCAGAGCTTTTCTTCTCTCTTCTCCCTGCCCTTTCCCTCCTGCACCCTAGGGTAGCCCTCAGCTGATTTGTATTGATTGCAGCAGGCCCTGTTTTCAGCGCTTTATGAAGTTTTATCATTTAATACAGTAAGCTTCTGAACTGTTTATCATTAACATTCCTATTTTACAGACAGGGAAACTGAAAACTCCGAGGTTCAGGTACTTGGCTGAGGTCAGGGCAGGGAGGATTTGAACTGTTGCACTGTCCCTCCCCCTTCCTCATCAAGGCTGGGTGAGAACACTCAGAAGAGCAGAAGTGCAGAGGGCCTGGGGTGGGAAGAAAGAAGGGCAGAGAGAAAGCGTACTGGATCGTGGACCCATGAGGTGGAGGACCCAGTGTTGGGAGACCTTCCCAAATTTTCAAGAGTAACCAAAAATGTAGATTTTTAATAGTCTCCCAGTTTCTGAGTGATTAGGTGTTTAAAAAAATTTTTTAAGTATTTTTGAGAGAGAGAAAGACAGAGCTGGGGAAGGGCACAGAGAGAGGGAGAATCAGAATCTGAAGCAGGGTCCAGGCTCTCAGCACAGAGACAAATGTGGGATTCAAACTCATGAACCAGGAGATTATGACCCGAGTTGAAGTTGGACGCTTAACCAGAGTAAGCCACCCAGGCGACCCAAAATGATTACGTATTTAAAAGAAGAAACTCAGATGCTCCCAGAGACCAGATAAACACTGGGGTCAGATGACATTGGTAGCAAAATGGAGCCAAATGAATGGCAGCAGAGGCAAACAGACTCCAATGCATGTATAAGTTCTCTGACCTGGCCATGGAAGTGAGAGTTCTGTTTCTGCCATCTCTGGAATGGTCTGCTTTAAATTCTAGGCCCATCCTCCGTGGGACACGACTGCGCTAGGGGCAGACCCCAAATATTGACCTTTACCTTCATGTGTCCCAGCCCTTGCATGGCCAGCACAATGTGGGTGGGCATTAGGTTTATCTGGTCATGCTGTCCTCCTCCCACCCTGCATGCAGAAGGTGCTCACTAAATGCTTGCTGCTAGAAGGCGCAGCACAAGCCCCTTCCCCTCTGAGCTCCCCCCCACCACGTTGGCTCCTCCCCACCCCATGCTTTGGGGGTGGGGCGGCACGAGTGAGTTAAAAGCCGGCGGCTGGGGGCAACTGGGACGAAGTCCAAGCAGCTTGCATGGCTACCGCTAGCCCTGTGAGTCCACCTTCCTGCCCTCGTGTAGCAAGGGACGGGGCTGGGGTGGCTGAGTCGGAGCTTGCTGCTACCCTCATTTCTTTCTTTGGTCAGGCTGGAGAGGCTGAGGGTGGAATCCAAAACTGGGAGGAGAAGGAGGGAAAAGAGGAAGAGAAAGAGAAAGAGGGGGCAGCAGCAGCTGTCCTGATGGTCAAGGGGGCTCCGAATCCCCCAGGGGACCTGCTGTCCCAGAGGAGGAAGGAAGCCCAGGATGGGGGCCCCCAAAGGGTCAAGTTGGAGTTACACCCGCTGCTGAACAGGTAAGGCAGGCTTTGTGGCCTTGCACCTGGCCTTGCTCTCTTGGCCCCCACTTCCTCATCCAATAAAGGTCAGAGCTAGCCTAAAACTTGGGCCCTGTTGGCTCTTCTGGTCTTAACCCAGTTGAGAGTGTGGATTCAATCCTCCCCGCAGTTCCACCCCAGGCTTTCAGGATGCTGACTCCAGTCACGCAGAGGGTCCTGCCCAGATCCCTTTTCCTTATTTGTACTTGAAGGGGTGGGGCTTCCCTGCCTGCACTTGCTGCTGGTTCTGGGCCTGGGAGGGGCTCTCTGCTTCCTCCTGGCCTCCCCTCTCCCCAGGTGGGCGCTATGGTTCTTCAAGAATGACCGCAGCCGAGCCTGGCAGGACAACCTGCATCTGGTCACCAAGTTTGACACAGTGGAGGACTTTTGGGCGTGAGTCTGTTCCTCGTAGAGGAGGCCAGAGCAAGGGGGATCCTTCCCAGACCCTACCCCCTCCAGGGAGCTGGTTCCTACATGGCTTTCCAGCCCTCCCTGGGGCCTCTCCGCTTTGCTGAGGGCTGGTGCTTGGTGGGTTCTGCTTGGGTGTGGGGGTCGTTGGGACTGGCATCTAGGCCCCCTGTGAAAACTTCTTGGGGCTTAGGAAGAGAGTCTGAGAGGTAGGAGGAGCCAGGAGTTGACCCTGATTCTGCCACTCCTTGGCTCTGTGACTTTGGACAAGTTCTTTCCTCTCTCTGAGCTGGTCTCAGCCACAAAGTGAGGATTGGGCTGCCTGATAGTGTCCATGGGTGATCAAGGGAAAGGAACTGAAGAGTGATGCACAAACCCTAGGGGCAGGTGAGAGGCTGGGGCTCCAGCTGGAGAGCCTCCCGAAACACCTCCTGCCCTGGCACTGGGGCTCTAAAAGCCCCTTCAGGGGGTTGGGTGGTCAGGGGAGGCTCCAGGGAGAAGGTGGCATTTGAGGGTCTGGGTAAGTAGGGATGGAATTCCAGACGAGGGGGGGCAGTGAAAAGGGTGAGTGTGAGCAAAGGCTTGGAGGCCTGAAGGTGGGTGGAAAACAGTGCGATCTGGTAAGAAGTTTGGGGGGAGTGTGAGGCAAGTTGGAAGGAGGCCTTAAAAAGTCTGGACTTTCAGCCTGGGTTGGGGGGCGGGGGGGCTTTCTCCAGGATGTACAGTCACATCCAGCTGGCCAGTAAGCTCTCTTCCGGCTGTGACTACGCCCTGTTCAAGGTAAGCCCTGACTCCCGACTTCTCAGGTGCCACAGATCAGCCTTCCTCAGAGATGGGGTGGGACTTCCAATCTGAGGAAACGCTATACAGAAGCCTGGATAGAGTGTCAGACTGGAGCTGCACTTATGGGACAGTTAAGAGTCTGGAAGGTCTCTTCCAGAAGGGGAGAGGGGAAAAGGGGGAACCAGGAAGGAGTCAGGTCTCTGGCCTGGCCTTGAACTAGCTACATGCATCAGAATTGCCCTAGGACACTTCTTATCAATGTCCAGGCCCATCCCTGAAGGTGCTGACCCAGCAGCTGTGTGCTATAGAGCCCTTACATCAGTGTTTAAAGACTTCCCCAGGCGGCCTGTGCCCAGCCTGGGACGTCTGCCCTTCCACACACTAGGGCTGCCCCAGAGGCTTCCTTAGTACTGCCTCTCCACCCCCCCACCCCCCGCCCCATATGAACTCCTGCCTCCAGGAACTCAGTTCAGTAAAGGAGACAAACATACACATACGTATAACAAGGCTACAAAACATGACCAGCGTTGAGGATCAGGGGCTTGTGGGAGCTCACAGGAGGGTCTGGAGGGCCGAGTGGCTGGTGGTGGAAGCTGCTCGTACAGACGAGTTGGAAGCAAGAGGGAACTTGGCCTGTTGAGACTTATTTAGGGGCCAGAGCAGGGCCTAGGAAGGTGGTTGGGTCCTCCCCACTTCCCTTTGAAGACAGGAAGGCCGTTGATTTGTCATTCCACCTCTTAGGATGGCATTGAGCCCATGTGGGAAGACAGCAGGAATAAGAGGGGTGGCCGCTGGCTGGTCAGTCTTGCCAAGCAGCAGCGTCACATTGAGCTGGACCGCCTGTGGCTGGAGACAGTGAGTGGGGGTAGGGAGGGGAGGGAAGGCAGGGGAGGGTCCCCAAGAGAAGAGGCTGCCTGGTGTGGTGGCAGTGGTCTCAAGGCTGGTGAGGCAGTCCCTGTGACCAAAGTGGAGGTCTCCCCATCCTTCCTTTTTGGCCCCAGCTGCTGTGTCTGATCGGGGAGAGCTTTGAGGAGCACAGCCGGGAGGTGTGTGGGGCTGTCGTCAACATCCGAACCAAGGCAGACAAGATTGCGGTGTGGACCAGGGAGGCAGAGAACCAGGCAGGCGTGCTGCACATTGGGTGAGGGATATCTCCGGTGCAGTGTCTCTTCTAGGGGAGAAGTGGTGGTGGCCTGACCTGTGAGGGGGACCTCTGGAACTCTCCATATTGGCTCCCCCTTTTTCCTTACCCTATACGAGGGTTTGGAATCCAGATTTCAAGCTCTTTCTAGCAGGGCTCTTTTCTTTTGCATTAGTCATGTTTTGGGTTTCCACATGCGTAAGACACACAAAGCAAGAATGATGGTGGCTGGAACTATGGGCAAAGGATCCAGGGTCCCAGGTGATCTCCAGGACCTGCTGCTATCTCATTTTTCTCTCCTACTCCTCCCCCAGGCGTGTCTACAAAGAGCGCCTGGGCCTCTCCACGAAGATCGTCATTGGGTACCAGGCCCATGCAGATACTGCCACCAAGAGCAACTCCCTCGCCAAGAATAAGTTTGTGGTGTGATGAGACCTTGGCACCACTCCATTCAGCTGCTCCTGAGCCTCTCACGGCTGTGTGTGTGTGTGTGTGTGTGTGTGTGTAAGTGGGTGCTGGGCTACCGTGCTGATGCTGGGGTAGGACTAGGGGGTAGAGAACCAGGTTCTCACTTGTCCTGGAGTGAATAGGAACATTGCTTAACATGACTTGGGGCCTAGGGGTAGCTCTGTGGTCAGGGAGCCAGCCTGAGGATGCAGGACAGGTGGAGGAAAGCTTCCAGTTTCCTTGTTTCACCTCAGGGTGGGCTGGGCTGAGTCACTGCGGGAAGCAGAGCTCAAATGAAGGTGGAAAGATGGCAAGGGAACCCTATACTCCAGCACTTTCTCTGCACCCCTGAGAAAGAGGTCGTTTTAGGGGAGAAGGCCCAAGGCCATGGACACTCTGAGAGGAGGAGTTCAGGGACAGGAGGGGGTGGGCTCTCCTCTTTGTAATCACTCTACACCTTTTGAGATGCCTTTCATTAGATTTGTAGCCTAGGAGCCCACCCTGTATCCTCTAGCCTCCCTCAAGCAGCTGTGGGTGGGGCCCTGGAGTGAGGCTGTAGATCAAAAGGGTTGGAGGCTTACACACAGAACCCCATTATCTCACAGACATGTGGCGAGCTAAGGACTGAGGAGAGTACTGTGTCCTTCTTGCCTTTTCCTCAGCTGTGGCCAGGGCTGTCTGGGCCTTGCCGGCCTCAGAGTCAGGCTGAAGTGGAGGTGGATAGATAACATGAGACAGGAGCCAGGACAGTGGTGGTTAGGTCTCATCATAGTTGTGCCTGAGATGGATTAAGTGGAAGATGATGTTTAAGCCCCTTCCTGTTTCTGCTCTAAATAAACACTTCTGAACAAAATTAGAATTATTTTTGAGGGCTCTAAAATTGAATATGATTTGGGCCCCCACAAACCTTAATCTCCTGGCCTGCCTTGAGAGGGCTCATGTGAGGCCCTCAGGGCCCAAGCTAGTATGGGGAGAGGGGTAAGAGGGAAGGGAAGAGTCAGGGTGAGGTTTCAACGTCAGAGGGTCATTGAGTCAGGGGATCAGGTACATGCCCCTGGCAAAACTGAAGTGTCAGGGAGCAGAGGGCGCGGCCCTCACAGGGCCCAGATGTCTAAGTTTGAGTCAGTATAGGTAGAGATGAACTTCTGTTGAGTGAAAAGTGCGTCTGCTTCGATTACACTGTAATAAAACGTCCTGTGTCTTAACACCATCCATATCGCCATCCCCATCTGCTCATTAGAGGAGCAGTTCTCTAGGACTGAGTTCCAACAGCAAGGCTGGGGATTGGAGTGGCGCTGGTACCGCCCCTGGTGGGGTGGGAGTGACTGAGGGTGTTTCGTACCTGCGACTTGCGGTGCATAATCAAGCTGCTCAGGCAGGTCGCGAGGACGCTGGGGCGAACCAGAAGGCCGTTGGCGCTCGGGGCGGAGTCAGGCCTAGAGGCGGGGTTCCGAGTCGGGCCGGGGGCGGGGCCTGACGGGGGCGGAGCCTGACGGGGGCGGAGCCTGCCTGAGGTGGAACCTGCCTGAGGCGGAGCCTGGAGGACAGACTCAGGCCTAGAGGCGGGGCTCCGACGGCACAGAGTAGGACGCAGGCGGAGTCAGGCCTAGAGGCTGCGGGCCTCCGAGGGGACAACGCCGACTGGGAGCTGGGCGGTCCCTGCGGGGCGGGCGGGGCCCGACTGGCTCTCTGTGTGGCCGCGGCCATGAAGCCGCAGCCGCCGGGCTAGGCCCCGGGCGGCTCTAGCCCAGGGCGGCCCGTGACGGGCCGGGCCAGCCCCAGCTCCGGTTCCCAGGCCGGCGGGCGGCTGCTCACCATGCCGGGCAAGCACCAGCACTTCCAGGAACCGGAGGTCGGCTGCTGCGGGAAATACTTCCTGTTTGGCTTCAACATTGTCTTCTGGGTGAGAGCCGGGTGGGTTTGGGCCCCATACTGAAGGTGGCGGGAGGAGATTCAGTCCCCTACTGCAGGGGCTTGGGGGGCGGGAGGGGGGCGATCCCAAACCCTTAGGGCAGGGAGCGGTCTCTCCCAGCCCCCCAGCCCCCGCCTCCTTTTTCCACTCCTACTTCCACGCCCACTCCCAGGACCACTCCGGGGAACTACGGAGAGGCCCGGATTGCTGGAGGCGGGTCCCAGGCACCGCCGGGTAGAGCGTGGAGGTGGTGTCTCCCGGTATCTTCCAGAGCCAGGGTGGAGAAAGGGGAAGGGTGCCAGGGACGCGCTTGGTGTAGGTCGCCCTTTCTCCCGTCCAGTTCCTTTGCTACTCTGGAGTGTGGGGTGTGCGCTGAGCTCCACCCCTGGTTTAGCCCACTGAGGGGAGTGGCTCTTTAAAGGGAAGGGCCGTATTCCCTCACCTAGCCTTAAGCTCCTTGGGGGGGGGGGGGTAGGGGAAGGGTGGTGTGTGGTCTTGCTCCTTACTGAGAGGGCTTGTGGGCTGGCGGAGGGCCAATAGCTCTAGTCCTCTGTTGGGGGCAGGAGATCTCCCCTGTTGAGACGCACTGAGGTGGCCCTGGGGAACAGAATTCAACATTCCACAGCTGACAAAACCGAGGTTTCGCGGGCGGTGCTGCCCCTGCCCGAGAAGGGAGCTTCACAGTGCCCCTCCCAGGGTGGCATCTGTGCCCCCGGGCCATGCCAAGTCATCTTCCCTTCTCCCTCCCCCATCCCATCTCCAAGGCTGCTTGCTGCCTCTGCAGTCTCTGCTCCTGCTGCCTTGTGTCAAAATGCCGGGCCCATTCTGCTTCGTTCAGCAAGACTCTGGCACTGCCCCCCACCCACGTGCTGCCCATGCAGTCACCCCTGTGTGGCCGGCCTTTGGGCTCCAGCGATGCTTAGCTCTCGAGGGTTTGGGCAGTGTGCAGAGAGTACTGGTGGGGAAGTCTGGAGGCCTCGGTATAGCAAGCAGAGCTCCGGGACTGGGCAAGTCACTTCTCTCTGGGCCTCAGCTTCCCTTTCTGGGAGTGGGGCAATGAAGCCTACCCCCAGGGTTGTTAGGCCGATTAAATGAATTCTAACTTGTATTCACACAGCTACTTTATTTATTATCTACGTTTTATAGATGAGGGAACAGCTGCAGAAATGTTAAGTCACTTAACCTAGAATCACATGGCCAGTAAGCACAGAGCCAAATGGGCAGTGGGTAGAAGTGAGGCAGAGCACTGAGCATAGTGAGTCTCCTTCTCCCCCCATGCCAACGGGGACCTGCAAGAGAACTTCAGGCTCTTTCTAGGCACACCAGCTTTTGCAGGGGAGAGGGGGTGAGGAGCCAGAGCAGGAAAGGCCCCCAGGCTGGGGTAGTGTTTGAATTTTATGTTGAGGGCAGTGTAGAGCAGTGAGAGCTTCTGGCCGGATGATGGGTCTGCTTTGGCTTTTGCGCTAGAGGCAGATCTGTCTGGCTGCATGGGGAGAGTGGGTGAGGGGCATGGGACTTGGAAGTGGGGAGACCTAGGAGGAGGGCTGGGGCACAGCTAGGGGGTGGGAAGTGAGGAAGGCTCCAGGGGAAGTTAGGAGGCTGAACTGACAGGACTGGGACGCTTGGGGGGCCAAGAGAGGGTTTCAGGTTTGGATCAAGGTGGCTGGAGGGAGGTGCTTATCACATAGGCTCCAAGATTTTTGTTTGTTTTAATGGAAAGCATACCCTGGTTGTTACCCTGCTGAGAACCTTCCAGCAATTAATACAGTGCAGACTCCTCCCATGGCCTCCAGAATCTTCTGCAGTCTGGCCCTGCTGCCCTTCAGTTTGTCCCTCGCGCCACCAAACATGATCTTCCCTCTGGGCCTCTGCCAGTCCCTCCACCTGGAATTTTCTTCTCACTACACCTTTTCATTATTTAGACCTCGGCTAAAATGCCCTCATTTTCCCTAACTGAAGCACGCTTCCACCACCCCTAGTCACTCCCCGCTGCATCACTCTGATATTCTTTTTTTTTTTTTTTTAATTTTTTAATGTTTATATTAATTTTTGAGACAGGGAGAGACAAGGAATACGAGGGGGAGGGGCAGAGAGAGAGGGAGACACAGAATTCGAAGCAGGCTCCAAACCTGAGCTGTCAGCACGGGGCCTGATGCAGGGCTCGAACCCTCCCTCCGACAGCGAGATCATGACCTGAGCGGAAGTCTGACACCTAGCCGACTGAGCCACCCAGGCGCCCCCTCTGTTTGGTTTTCTTTAAAGGATCTGTTAGTATCTGAAATTACTTTGTTTGCTCCCTGTAGATTTCCCCCACTGGAGTGTAAACTCCATGAGGACAGAGAGCTCATTTGTCCTATTTGCCAATGTATTCCTGGTACATGAACAGGGCCTGGGACGTGGAGGTGTTTGCAGCAGGCAGTTGGACATAGGGGTCTGGAACATGGGTGATGTTTGGTGGAGACCTAGGAGATGCCAGTGTCTGAGGGTGCGGATAATAAGTGCAGAGGAGGAAGAAAGGCAGAAAGCTGAAAGTGAAACCTGGTGGGGGTGGTGGCCATGTGCACGGGGCAGGTGAAGCAGTGAATCTTGGGAGGGAGGCTGAGAAGGAGCAGAGAGAGGAATGGTGTTGGGTTAACCAAGGAGGGGTTCAGAAAGGAGAAAGCAGTAGTCTGTTGCCTATCTAAAGGCCATGAGTGGGTCAAGTGGGATGAGGCAGGAGAAGTGATGTTTCGTTTCACATCCCAGATCTAGTGTACAGGGAGGGAAGGAAAGACATCAGAGAAGAATACAGCAGTGGGAAGAGACTGGGGCCAGAGAGAGGAAGGCTTTAAAGTGGGTGGTCATGGTGGAATTGACTGGAATTGGTGGTGGGGGACGGGAAGGAGCCTGTGAAAGCAGGCAGGTGGGGAAGGTCTTAAGAGTTGGGGTCACGGCCTGTGCTGGCTGGGGCAGGAGGGGTACTCTCCCTATGAGACTGAATATCCGGGGACCTGCCCAATCTCAGGCCAATAGCCATGACATCCAGGGCTCTTCCCAGTAAGGCACTGAGGCAGGATGGCGGGTTGTGCTTAGAAGGCCCAGGCAGAACTGTGGCCACAAGTTTTCAAGGGCACAGCCACCGGCCCAGACTGCGGTCCCTCAGCTGGATCCTGCTCACCTCAGGATTCCTTGTCATCCAGGGGTCTTTGCTTGTGAGCTATGAGAACAGAACACAGAGTAGGACAACCATCACAGAGTTGGAGGGCAGCGGGACGGCCCAATTGGGAAGGGGCAGAAAGGAGGCGAGGAGCCCGGAACCCAGACAGGTCTTGTGGGAGAAGAGGCTCTGGACATAGCTGCTGCTGCTGCTTGGCAGGAATGTCCCAGCAACCCTCTGCTTCAGTTCTGAGTTCCAAGAAGGGCTAAGGTGGGTTCCATCCTCCAGGCTGTGTTTTGTGGGAAAGAAACACTGAAATGTATTCTTGGGAAGGTAGAAAGGACTCTGGACCCTCCCCATCCTCTCTCTCCTCCTGGCTTCCTGAAGACCCTGAGTACTAGAGGGGAGGGGGCTTTGCTCGGGGTGGGGAAGGATGCTGATACTCCAACCCTCAGCTCTTTGCTGCTGCTTCTGCAGGTGCTGGGAGCCCTGTTCCTGGCCATTGGCCTCTGGGCCTGGGGTGAGAAGGTAAGGTGATGCAGTAGGGTGTGGGGCTGCCATTGGTTGAGGTGGTGGGAGGATCGGCCTGACCACTTGCCTTTGCTCCCCTGGCACAGGGCGTTCTCTCCAACATCTCAGCGCTGACAGATCTGGGAGGCCTGGACCCCGTATGGCTGTTTGTGGTGGTTGGAGGTGTCATGTCGGTGCTGGGCTTTGCCGGCTGCATTGGGGCCC